CACGTAAGTATTTTAGTAACAATTTACAGCGAACGAGAGAAGTTGGGATCGATTAAATGGATTTTGTCAATTTGACGTGACAGTTAAATTTTCAGTATAATTTTCTTTTGTTCCATATTGCGCAACTTTGTTGCACACGTTTTTTTCTTCCAAAAGCAAACAAACGGCCTCTGTCAATGGTCAAATGGGACATCTATTGATTAAATTTTGTCGTTTAGGAATGGGTTACCAATATGGATCAGTGAGATATTTAGATCAACCTCCAATAATTCCTACTTAATTACAACTGATTGCTTGATAGAAATAACTCGGCCTCGTGAAAATCACGAAGGTTCACAGGTATCTGGTACAATAGTCATCATCAGCACTGTCGAATGCATGACCACGTTTTGAAATGCAAGAAAGAAATGTGTAAGTGCACGGTTATCAGTGTTGACACGTCATTCGATTGATGTGTACGCAATTAGGAAATCCATGATTCTCCTTCAGATGATCGGGTTTTCTTTCTAGCTGTCGGAGCAGGACGTAAGCCTCATCCGCAAACTCAGGAGTATCTGTTTACGTATACTGAACACCAACCCGCTGAAGGTTTTAGCCCTCGGCTATGCTAAGCCTAGTTTAGCCCACCGTTCAAAAAGTAGTGTGCTGGGGAGTGGCTTCCCCCATCGGTCAGATGGTCCATCAGGTTAGGGGTCCAGCTTCAAGCAGCTACTTACTCCTTGCATCGCGTATCAAGCTATGTTGAGCGAGAACCCATTTAGCACTCATGCACGTGATACTCCTGAAAATTCATTGAATTCAAAAATGTTTCAGTGTTTCAAATGTTGGTTTAACACCGGGAAGGAAATTGCTATCATTTCAAGTGGAGAATTGCGTTATATGTTTGCATACGGTGAAGCTTTGGTGCTATACACGTTCGTGAAGCCAATTTGGTATAAGTTATTTTGAGATAAATAAATACTTACCCTATTGAATTCGATGGCGTTTTGCTGTCAAGCACTTGTGCAGATAAAATTAGATGTGCTGAGGATGTCAAGTGAGAATGCTCTGTATCTGTATCAAAGGACGTCCGTATTCATTTCACAGTCACTTGTGAGTAGTAGCAGTGTGGTATAAGTTATACTCATTTGGACCGACCACACTTCAGACTTCCTTTTCATACACAATCCTCAGTTCATCCAGTCACCCGGACACTCAGAAAGCCTTAGAATTGAGTTTTACTCTCCTCAGAGTTCATCCACTGTCTCGTCCGGGATTCGAAATCCGGACCTCTTGCACGGAAGACCTGATTAGTTAAAAGGCTTTCGAAAGGAGTTAACAGATAGTCAACTATGTCTCCTTTCGTTGCTGTCGGACAGAAGTAACCTGACCGACCATCACTCAAGACGAAATCCGAACACAAATGATTTGGTAATTCTGACCAGCCTCGGAATGATCTATAGTTGGCACAGTGGTAACACATATACGCCTACTCTGCGATGGGTTCAGAGTTCAAAAGACAACTACCGATGAACTCTGAGGAGCGGGAAACTCAAGCTCAGTGGTGCCCGACGGTAATGTTGACTGGATGGATCGAGGATTGTGCGTGAAGATGAAGCCTAAAGGATGGTCAATCCACGTCAAGGTTCACAGTTCATTCATGTTTTTGTCCACTCATTCATGAATGGGACCGCGGCTAACCGCACACACACACACACATCTATATATATTTAATATTTTACACGCGTCTGACGCCAGACTTTGTGCCAAACAAATCACGGTACAATAATCTTTAAGAAAAAAGAAAAACGTTCCTTGATTTGCATGTGGGAGGAATACTACCAGGTTTCCCAGGCCAAGGCAGGTGAATTTTCTTGAGGAATCCGCAACCGGAGCCTTTGGCTAACCAAAGCCTGACCCGCAAGGCAGCTGCGTGGTGTGCGAAAACCGCAATCCATCGGGGGCCGGTGTCCAGTTCATCGGATCATGCGCTCTTTGAATGTCGAATGTCCAAAGTGCCCAATACACCTCGATGCCCAATTGAGTCGGTGACCACAACCGCCCAAACCGGGAAGATGTGTGGTTAGTACGCCTCCTCGTGGTTGATTCGGAATTAGGGTTTTTTGGCCAACACCCCAAGGTGAACTATCAGTGGTCCACCAACCCGGTTGTCGGCTTTTCGTCCTCTCACTTTGGTGCGAAAACATCTCCACCACGAGAAGGCAGTGAGCAAGGCTTCCTCAGCAGAGGCTATTCGAGATTCTTGGTCGTTTGGGAGCATTTCGCGAGGTTCAAGGGAAGGGTGACCAGCCGCAACCCTAGACACCCCCAACCATATTGAGGACTTCGGAGGCATACGCACCTAGGTGAATGTCATTGCTTGTTCACATTCTAAGCAGATGTGCATAATCGCTGGTCTCAGCTTACAAGTAATTTATCTGTAACGGTTGCTTATTGAATTAAGAGAAAAGTTTTGAAATTATTATTTCGAACCAGGAAACAATACAGAAAAGGTATGTTGTCATTGAATATGGTTCATAAAAGTAGAAATGGAATGTGCGCCACACCACGGAACATTCGTTCGTGCTGCTGACTTTTAAGCGCATTTCACTTCAGTACAATACAGCAGCAAATGGAGTTGCTTTATCCCCATATCTACCATTGGCTGATGATGAAGTGAGAAACATGTTCAAATCAACATGCCCACCTGCTTCATGCGGTGGAAACCGCAGAATGAAAATAACCAAACTCACGCACTAACTGAAGATACCGAGGGGCCCCAGATGAGCTTCATCAACGCCACGATATCGCCCGAATATACCATTATTACTCATTGTAAGAAAACACAAAGTAGAGAACAGGCTCGTTTGCAGTGATTCTTCTACAGGCTGATATATCATAATTTATATCAAATTGTTTAGAAGGGGGGAGAAGTCATGACAAGTCGGAAAAGAGATAATCAACATTCCAGTTCCATGACCCGATGTTGCTCACACTTTGGTCCTCATACATGCGTACTGGTTCGGGTCATTAGGGGTGCGTAGGGGTGGGGGTGGCTGTGTCGTGTTGACAATGGAAGACTGAGTGTTCTCACGAATCATTTTTGAGAGAATAGGGGATTATGTAGGTGGATTCCGATCGCTTCCGCTGTAACCAAAATGCGACTGCTAATCCTCTTAGATCGGTGGATGCGAACTAAGTAGAGGGGTCGAAACGCCTCGGCCACATAAACTACGTGGTTTGATTCCACCAGGTGTGAACATTTTGGTCGTCATTTTGGGTCGTCACCGGTTGCCAAATAAAACCACTACTGCGGAGAAGAAACCGCTTTACATATCGCTACATTTCAAGGGCGACACAACTGCCGATATGGTGACAAGAAAGCTGAATACATTTGTAGAAAAAAGCATTCCCCGCACCAAAACTGCTTATTGTGTTCGTCTCCACTTCTGTGCTTTCAACTCAAAGATAAATTGCCTTTTTCTGCCGTCTCTGTCTGTGTGTACTTATTTACCTGTTTCTCTTGGGCAAGGTTTATTGGTCGCACGAGCAGACATTTATCTGGACGAGTCCGTGAGCACCACCCGGCCTGGTTGAACAGTGAAGTAATTAGGACCATGATATCGATCGGAACAGCCAATGTGACTTGTTCCTCCAAACCGACTCAACATAAATCGATGAGCCTCACTGGAGACATCATGTTAGCCTGAGAATGGGAGAGAATGTTTGTGCACACTATTTCGTTGAAGTCTAATGACTGTTTCAACCACTGATTTGAACTTCGTCATCTGACCGGTATCCATTGGAACTTCCAAATTGGTCCTCAAATCCGGTTGATTGGTCGATGTAAAGTGGTACACACAGTGGAGGAATAGGAACTTCACAACTAGAAGGAACTGACCTGCGTCCATAGCGAGGAATGAAATAGAAAGCTTCGCAAAGATGAGATTATGAATGACCCAGGAGAAAACAATTCAGCATCATTATCTTACTGATGCACAAGATATTTTACGCGATAGAATAGTGATCACAGAAACAGTAAACTTTGGTTTATTCGACCTGGTTTCTTCAAATCATTCGATAATTTAAACCAGCTTTATATTCGTCTACAGTACCATATCGTGGAATAATGCAATCTGTTCTTTGTTCAAGGCTTACCCCCTTGTCTGCGATCTACAACGTGGATTGGATAGACTAAATCAATGTCCGATCAATGGTTCCGTCGACCCGAACTCAAATAAACGGGTCATAACTCACACGAAACCACAGAGCGGTTCAGATGTGGTCAAGCTATCCGAAAAACAAGTTACCTACGTATCAGGACCACTACAGACACCTGTTTCGAGCAAATTCCTTTTGGGCCGCGTGGCCTCCAATGAGGATATTTGTATCCAAACTGAGACCCCTTTCGCGTTCACCATTGCAGCTACGGACAAAGAGATTTGCATAACAAAAGTAGCCTCGGTGGATGATTTGAAGCGACTCAGTTCGTATGCTGAACGTTCTACAGATGGGTCCGATGTACGGAATCGGAGAAAACTGAGTCAACCAACTCGTCGTGCAATCCCCGTCAATCTACGGCTCACATTCGGATCCGAATCCAATTTGGCCGGGTCTCATAAATCACGGAAACCGGAAGCTTTACCCCCAGGATCTAATTACCGCGTGATGTATCATGTGGACATCCCGTACGGTTCAAACGTGGCGCAGTTCAAACGCGATGCACTACGCCGTACACATTCAGCTAGTGGAAGGAATCCTTTTCGTTACAGCTTGCCTTGTATTTCCTATCGGGAAGATGAGCCTAAACCCATTGCTCTTGTTCCTTAATCTGTCTTTCTTGCGGGCATTTTAACTGAACAAATAGTGAACAGTAATGCAAACACCGACTGCAATTATGCCCCCCACCCCTGTACAGAGATGGAACAGTTAACATCGATTGTTACACGCTATAAGATAGTGTCTTTCGAAACTCTTGCCAATCACAAATGTACTACATCATCAGTGCACCAAAGTTCGATACCCAAAACAAACAGGCAGACACAGACCAACACAAACGTAAACCTCCTTCTGCAGACCTCGGCTGCTATTTCCCTCACATCTGAATAGGACTGCACGCTATCTTTCGCGTTCCAGTATTAAATCGATCTTATATACAACATCCTGTTTGCATACCTCACGCTGGACTTGATTATGCTTCCCAGTCTAGGCTGATTCACGCTTTTCCCTCTCCAATCACCTCGCTCACATAATTATCGACCGCATTATGAACTTCACATCGTGATCAACATCATCATTATCATCATCATCATTATGAAAGAATATAACATCTCCTTGCGCACTGCCTGCCTATCAATCAATCAATCGATCAATCAACCAATCAATTCACCTGTACACGCATTTCAATTCACACAGTTAAGAATTGAAATTTTATTTGTTGTCCCTAAACTGAGTTTTCAACCGGTCTCAAATTCAATATTGTCCTGCCTTTTTTCGTTTCAATATTATTGGTATAAATATGCACTCATATCTTTGTATTTTACTATCACATGGAAAATGGGTTGTACACATAAATTTTACGGTCCAGAGAAAAAACGAAGAGAAATAAAGTGAGAAGGTTAAGCAATTTAAGTCACTGGAGTAATGCTAGTGTTCTGCACTCCAGGGTCTGAGGTTCCGGCCCTATCTCTAGCCATCGTTGTCCCGGACATATACTGTGGATATCCAAATTATGTTGTTTGGCAGATTTATTTATTCTTATTATTATTATTATTATTATTATTTATGTTTCGATTGTGAAAATCTCAGTAGCCTCGGTGGGATTCAAAACACGCACGAACGCTGTCTACACTTTTGCACATTCCACGTTCTACCACGCAGTTACTGTGGCCTCATAGACCAGTTGACAGAGGATAAGCCGTGAAACCGGGTAGGCGGCATTCATGCACGGGTTCGAATCCCACTGAGGCTACTGAAGTTTTCACAATTCAAATATAACCTTGTAGGTCTTCTCGTTCAATTTAACTTCTATGCAGATCCCTGCTCCCAAGACCCGGTAACTGATGTCCACCGCGATCACAACCAATCAGTCGGTTCCCATGAGCATGACTTCTATCCGTCTTAGTGTTCATCACATTACAGTGTATGATAATTCCGTTTAAAAGGTCCATGAAGGCGGTAAAGTTAAGCATATTTTTTCCTTGGAGGAGAAAATTCGGAATCGCGATTTATTGTTACTCACGATGACTTGACACGAATGCCTGAGTCTGCTCAGGTCACTGAAGGCCCGGAATGACAGGCGTCCAGACAAGCGAACAAAACCGATGGTCCCATCAATAGGACGAAAAGCAGTAAAGCTACAGTTCCATAATGGGAAATCGGTTGCACGGAGTAAAAAAGTTCTGCATCAGCGATTAGATCGATTAGGTGTGCCTTCAACTTGAATGCACGAGTTGGGTAAATAGGAAGAAGCATCTGGTTTGAAAACAAACTGAGAGGTTTTTGAACACTCCATGGGCAAAAGTTGTTGTAACCGTGGTTGAGCTGAGTAACATACAAATAAGTATACATTACTGCTTAAATGAAACAAGTAGCTGTAGAACTAATGAAGGAGATGTTTGATAGAAGGAGAGGAGGCGTATCACTGGTCAGTAGTAAAATCAGAGAAAAATAAACAATTTTGATGGGGTTCAGCGGTACCAGATTAAGGGAACTTTCGGGATAAGATTGCGGTTCTGTGATACTCAGTGTTCCAGATGGTCGTAGAAGATACTGTACAAAGAACCTATACAAGAAAGACTGAAATGAAGAACAGGAGGAGTCCACCAAGTTGACCATCAAATGGCATTTTTCAGTTTCTTCTACCACATGCCGCACGCAGGCTACTGAAAACTACTTTCAAGATAACTAACTTACAGCACCAGCCGATTGTAATGCACTAAAACATGTTCTTTCTGATCAAATTGAGCTTCATTATATTTATCACTTTTATTAATGCTTTAGGTATGGACAATAACTGATCTCCTGTCTACTTCGATCAACGTAATTTCTAGGCTTCATGACTGCGAATTAAACATGCGAGACCTCAATTGTCAACATAAAATAATCTCAACATGAAAATCGCAAACTTTATCAAGTATGAAAACGCAATGTATTCTAATAGGAGTGACTCAAGAATTATCCCAAATTATCTACAGAAACCCTTGTCATCTCATTTAATTGTTATGAGGCATTATTTTACCCAATATATAATCCATCACAGCAACTCTATTGAATATTCAAATGAAATTCTTCCACAACTCTGATAAATTGCATTGAATATGGTTTAATAATAATAATCCATGTATAATAGCTAACTCGCTGCATTTGAGAAATACCATTTTAATCAAAGTCAAGCTTGAAATCAAGGTCATTTTTGTACACAGCTTTGAATGTTCGTATTGTTGTCACCATAATGAACTAAGCAGCTTTCGAAACTAAAATTTCTCGTTGTCTGCGTGAAGAGAGCAGAAATAAAATAGCACGAGCAGACAAGCTGGCATTTTCACGAGAGATTAATAAATTAATTTAGTTAAGGAGTCTGGATCACTTATTATTTGCTTTTAGACTTCAGAAAAGATGCGTGACTCTAAGGTCCAGTTCATGCAACTTTCCCCTAATAACCCGGATCTCGATGTGATTGAAAGTCTGCTTTTTGTTTTGAAGAGGGAGGTCAGTTTGTTATCTGTACATTGGACATTGGAGGCAAAAGTGCAATACGTAATGGGGCACAAAATAGAAAATGACTTCATAACAAAGTTGGTGGATTTGAAGTCGAAGAGACTCGAGAATATCCTAAAGAAAAAAGGCAGACCCATCGACTATTGATGTACATAAGCTTTTCATCTTAACTGTTATTAATGTTGATTTGTTGTAAATAAAAATTGTTTTATTCTCTTTAGTTAGCTCTTAATTCATTATGGTCTAGGTCAACCACTAGTGACCAAATGGGAGTATCCGCTACATTCTGAACCATTCCATCTGCTGAGTGTAAACGAATGAGGAAAATCAATGCTAGAAAGATCCAAGAACGCTTTTTTATCATTATTTGGAAAAAATTTACTTCAGTATAAATGCTGTTGCCTATACGAACCCTTAAGTGTTTCACACGGACCCGTTGCTTCAGTTTCAATTAGACCTGTATGTATGTCTCCAAGACGGAATTGTTTTCACATGTGGGCTACTGAACGGTAATTGAATGAACTCAAATTCGAATCAGATGGATCCAACAACTGTATATATGTGTGGAAAAAACAATATATAATGAAGTTCTAAAAGATTTTATGATAAACCCCAAATGAAACCATAACCAATTATTAAAAAGAAAGAACTTTATGGATTCTCTGTACTTTCTTCTAATTCTGAGTTGTAATTTTTGAACTTATACAAAGTTTATCGTAACACCAACGATGGTGCCAGTTCAAATGGTTATGCAAGAGTATAAAGAATATTGTAGTGTGAAATAAGGTTTGCTATTCACCCATAGCTATCGAATATACAAATAGGCTATTGGAAACTGAAATAAATTTCTAAATTTACAGTCATGTCGCACGTGTTTGGTCTCGTTCAATTGCTTACGAACGATTGAAAATCACAGAGGTAAGTGAGCGGTAAATTGCGCGAACTCTGTAAGTGAGAGTATAAAACCAAGTAGAATGAATTGTACCAGCAGGCATGGCACACACCCGATTGGAGAACAATGAAGGGATTACTAAGGCCACTAGGGATCTACGATCCAAATTTGTGAGAGCGATGGATCATTAGCGGCAGTATGGGCAGGAGAAAACAAAAGCAGCGAGTCCTAAAGAACATAGGGAGACCCGGGAGTGAGAGTAGTCTGATCATGTGGTAACATGCGCTTACCCGTTTGTTTTTCCTTATCTTTTCGGGTGAGTAATGGAGGATTTGATTCAACTTCAAAGGTGGATTCGCCGTGTATATAACAAGTAATGCATGTAAATGGAAAATGAAAAACGGGATGACCAGCTTCCTGGTACCTGAATGGGTATCACGCTTGCGTTCTACCTATGAGGTCCCGGGTTCGATCCCCACTCATCTTTTCAGTCTCTGTATCAGCCCAATTTCCACTCTAGATCTTTGATGATATGATGGAATAATATCCCGTCATCTGCATAAAACNATAAAACTTACAATCCGTCAATCTGACACCAAACTGTTTGATAATCAATTCTGAATCTTTATGATATTGTTGTTAGTAACTGCTCCGCAACCGTGTGATGATGGCATCCCTGCTGTGCACAGGGCAAGTTTACTGAGTATTTAGAAAAGCCGTGGCGGTTGGCAAAGTACCGGTTCTTGCTGGACATCCATTGCTGAATCTGGCCCACTCGATCGATCGTCAATGCATGTGTGGGCGTGGTATTTGAGAACAACGAAAGAACCCTGTGCTGTTCACAGCAGAGAACCGTGCCTAAATTCAGTTAGTTTCAGTTCATTGTTGTAACATCTAATCTGAGGATTCAACTGTGAGCGTTCATGGAGCCAAAATAAAACTTTATCTAATCACACACTGAGTTGCCAAAAGCTTATACAAGTTGCAGCGGACAGAAAGTAGCGCGTAAATGGATTTTCGAGGAGGCCGTGGGAAAAGAGTGCACGGAGAAAAATAAGTTGAAAAAAATTCAAAACTCAATTCTGTCACTATTCAAAAATGAGAAGTGGAATCCCTTAATCATGATGGATGCGCTATGGCCATGCACAGGAAATTCAGATCTACTGGAATCCATGCAAGCTACGACTTGGCGATGGTTTTACTTTGTGCAACTTATTCG